CTGTGGAACCTGAAAGAAACGAAACAAGTCCGGCAGGGCCCGGGTGTCATCCGAGAGTGTGTTCCACAGGGCAGGGGCCATAAGTGAGAAGGACCTTCCCGTAGTGACAGCGAACCGAGCCATCCTGAGGCTAGGCTCTTGGGCCATCCTTGAGCTGTTGGGTCCACCCATGAATCCTTCTCAGATCTAAAAGGGTGGGTCTCAAAGGGAAGGGGCTGGTGGCTCAGTGGCAGAGCCTCTGCTTGGCATGCAGAAGGTCCCAGGTTCAATCCCCGGCATCTCCAGTTAAAAAGGACCAGGCAGGAGGTGATGGGAAAGACCTCCGCCTGAGACTGTTAAGAGGGGCTGAGCTGTTAAGAGGGGCTGTGGCTCAGTGGCAGAGCCTCTGCTTGGCAGGCAGAAGGTCCCAGGTTCAAGCCCCGGCATCTCCAGTTGAAAAGGACTAGGCAGCAGGTAATGCGAAAGACCTCCGCCTGAGACTGTTAAGAGGGGCTGTGGCTCAGCGGCAGAGCCTCTGCTTGGCAGGCAGAAGGTCCCAGGTTCAAGCCCCGGCATCTCCAGTTGAAAAGGACTAGGCAGCAGGTAATGCGAAAGACCTCCGCCTGAGACTGTTAAGAGGGGCTGTGGCTCAGCGGCAGAGCCTCTGCTTGGCAGGCAGAAGGTCCCAGGTTCAGTCCCCGGCATCTCCACTAAAAAGGACCGAGCAGGAGGTGACGGGAAAGACCTTTCCCTGCCTGAGACCCTGGAGAGCCACTGCCAGTCTGAGTAGGCAATATTGACCTTGATGGTAAGCTTCTAGCTAGGGATGCCAGCCTCCAGGTGGAACCTGAGGACAGGCCTTTAACCAGGTTTGTTTTTGTTTGGGGGGGGATTTAAATTTTTAAGGGGCCACTTAAGTAACAGTTAATTGAAATAATCAGACTGCCTGTCTTTAAAAGGGGAGGCTCCGAGCCCGTGTCAGTTCCCAGGAAAAAAACAGCTCAGAGGGCATTTAAATGCCTTTTGAGTTCCCTTCCACTGGGCAAGAAAGCTTAGATGGGTCACTCAGGCTTCAGTACTTCTCCAGCAACTCCCCTTTCTGCTAGCCCAGCCCTGCTGTAGTCAGTGTTCCCCCTAAGCTGAGTTAGTGTGAGCCAGCTCAGTTTCTTAGCCTCCGGCTCACACATTTTCCTCTTCGCTCGGGCAGGAGGGCTCCAGAGCAAACTAATTTCTGCAGTTAGCCAAATCTCTCGCTCACAACTTTAATGCCAGGAGTTCACAAAGTTAGAATTTTTGCCCACGAGACTTCACGGCTTAGAGGGAGCGTTGGCTGTAGACCACCTAGGTCATGGTGATAGCCTTTCAAAAGCATCCCCATGAGCCTTTGGGAAACATGCAAATCAATTTGGCTGACAGGCAGGGCCCTTTTTGTAGAAAAAGCCCAGCAGGAACTCATTAGCATAATCGGCCACACCCAACAGCAAAAACTCATTAGCATATTAGGCCACACCCCTGACAGCACAGCTCATTGGCATATTAGACCACGCCCCCGTGTTACCAGAAGTGTGCTCATCCAGCCACACACCCCTTTTGCTTCTTATTCTGTTTACCTTGTTTGTTGTCAAAACCCAGGGCCTTTTCTTGTAGCAGGAACTCCTTTGCATGTTAGGCCACACACCCCTAATGTAGCCAGTCCTAATGAGTTTCTGGTGTTGGGTGTGGCCTATTATGCTAATGAGTTCCTGCTGGGCGTGGCCAACTTGGGAGCCAGCCGGAACTCCGTTCCTTTGCGTTCCTGCCCAAAAATAGCCCTGCTGACCGGAATGCTTTTGAAAGACTCACCGTGACCTCTGTGGTCTACAGCAGGACTGGGCTAGCAGAAAGGGGGGTTGCTGGGGAGACGTACTGAAGGCGCCACTCCTGAGTGCCCTTCTACGCTTTCTTGCCCTGTGGAAGGCAACTCGGAAGGCATTTAGATTCCCCCTCTTGAGCTGTCTTTGCCCAGCTCCCATGATACCACCCCCTGCAAATTCCACAGTGGGAGGGAGAGGGAAGCCGGAGGGCGAGCCACGCTGCGTCTGTGGGGTTCTCTCCTCAAAAATAAGGTTCCTACACACTCACATGCACAAATTTAAAAATGCCCCCCAATAAGGTTTCTGGCATGGCTGTTTGTGGGGCGGGGCTTTTAATTAAGGGGGTGGGCCCCCCAAAATGCCCCACTGAGGCTACAGGTGTGCCTGGGGATCCCCCGGGATCATGGCTCAACTCCAGACTACAGAGATCAGTTCCCCTGGAGAAAATGGATGCTTTGGAGGGTGGACTCTGTGGCACTGTCTTCCCCAGGCTCCACCCCCACATTTCCGGGTGTTCCCCAACCTAGAGCTGCCCCCTGGTGGCCAGGGGTGAACCGGCAACACTATCTACAGCTTATGGTTATTGTGTTTAAGGAGTCATTATTGGACCTGAATAAGAACATCAGAAGTGCCCTGCTAGATGAGACCAATAGTCCATCTAGTCCAGCATCCTGTTTCATACAGTGGCCAACTAGTTCCTCTGGAGGGCCAACAACAGGGCAGAGAGGCCGAGGCCTTCCCCTGAGAACATCAGAAGAGCTCTACTGGATTAGACCCGTGAGGGTCCATCTAGTCTAGTATCCTGTCTCACACAATGGCCAACCAGTTCCTCTGGACCACCAACAACACAGCATAGAGGCTGAGGCCTTCATACCTTCACCCAAAGAGTGATCAACACATGGAATTCACTGCCACAGGAGGTGGTGGTGGCTACAAACATGGACAGCTTCAAGAGGGAATTGGATAAACATATAAAGCAGAGGTCCATCAGTGGCTATTAGCTACAAGGTATAGATAGGAACTCTTGGTCCGGGGCAAGTGATGCTCTGTATTCTTGGTGCTTGGTATGGGGGCAACAGTAGGAGGGCTTCTGGTGTCCTGGCCCCACTGCTGGACCTCTTGAGGGCACCTGGTGTTTTTGGCCACTGTGTGACAGAGTGTTGGACAGGATGGGCCATTGGTCTGATCCAACACTGGCTTCTCTTATGTTCTTATGTTAAGAAGATAAGAAGAGCCCTGCTGAGTCAGACCAGTGAGGGTCCATCTAGTCTAGCATCCTGTCTCACACAGTTGCCAACCAGTTCTTCTGGAGGGCCAACAACAGGACAGAGAGGCCGAGGCCTTCCCCTGATGTTGCCACCTGGCCCTGGGATTCAGAGACTGACTGCCTCTGAATGTGGAGGTTCCTCTCAGCCACCATGGCTAGCAGCCACTGATAGACTTACCCAGGGACCCTCAGGGCTCTTTTTGTAACAGGAGCTCCTTTGCATATTAGGCCACACACCCCTAATGTAGCCAATCCTCCAAGAGCTTACAGTAGCCCCAGTAAGAAGGGCTCTGTAAGCTTTTGGAGGATTGGCTACATTAGGGGTGTGTGGCCTAATATGCAAAGGAGCTCCTGCTACACAAAGAGCCCTGCTTACCCTCCATGAATCTAGCGAATCCCCTTTTCAAGCTGTTTATTCCGGTGGCCATCACAACATCCTCTGGCAGTGAATTCCACATTTTAACCACTCTGTGTAAAGAAGTATTTCCTTCTGTCCGCCCTGAACCTACTGCCCATGAGTGTTCCTTCTTTGGAGGTGTTCAAACAGAGGCTAGACAGCGATGCGGATTCTGTGAATGTAGTCAGATCATGAGAAGGGAGGGCAGGAAGGGTTGCCTCAGTGCTTAGTTCTCGTGGCCCCTTCTTACACGCCCAGGGAAATGCCGATCGCCACTCTGGGGTCAGGAAGCAGTTTTTCACCAGGCCAGTTTTGGCCAGGGATCCTGGAGAGGGTTTTTTTTTTTTTTGCCATCTTCTGGGCATGGAGCAGGGGTCACTTGGGGTGTGGCCCTTGGTTTGCTACTTATAGCCTGTGCCCGCCGATATATCTGAGAAGATCAGCAAGCTGAACATTTAGACAATTTATGGTTTGCACTCATGTGGTACCACCATCCATCTTTATGATGTCACAAGAATGCTGCTAGCACTTTCATATTGTATTGTTTGTAATGAACTGTTTTTAGATGTTTTATGGTAACTTGATGGTTATTTATGTATTTACCTTATGTAAGCCGCCCTGAGGCTGCCTTGGCGGGGAGGTTGGGGGTATAAATCGGGAAAATAGATAAATAAATAAATAGAAGAAGAAGAGGAGGAGGGGGAAGAGATTGGATTTATACCCCGCCCTTCACTACCCAAAGGAGTCTCAGAGCGGCTTACAAACTCCTTTCCCTTCTCCTCCCCATGACAGACACCCTGTGGGGCTGAGAGAGCTGACAGAAACTGCTCTTTTTCAAGAGCAGCTGCGCCAGACCTATGGCTTGCCCAAGGTCATCCAGCAGCTGCAAGTGGAGGAGTGGGGAATCAAACCCGGTTCTCCCAGATCAGAGTCTGCACACTTAACCACTGCACAAAACTGGCTCTGAAATAAGACATCTGTGAATTTCCTGCATTGTGCATGGGGTTGGACTAGATGACCCTGGGGGGTGCCTTCCAACTCTACGATCATTGGAAGCCGTCAAGTCCTGGTCTTTTGGGAGAGGGAGAGGAACGTCTTATTGTCAACTTTCTGCACCCCATTAAGAAACATCCGAGTGCTTATTACCATTGTTATTGCTCGCAGGGTACCCCTTGGGGGTTTCTCCCCCCTAGCCCCAGGGATACAATTAAGGTGCGATTCTTAGGAGGGCGGGAGGAAAAAGGTATCCACGGCACCCAAACATCAACAATACTCATCCCAGGATTCTCATACTGTGTCTAATAACCTCGGTCTCTGAATCCGTTGCTGCAGCACCTGCTTTATCGTAGCCAGTGGTGGCGGAGACCAAAGGGTGTTCTCTGGCTTCACTCTCCTGCAGCTTATCTCAAGTCCAAACCGTTAAAAAGAGAACGCAGCATCCGGGAAAGACGGGAGGAGGGGAAGGGGGGACGAACGGATTTCTCATTATCCCTGTCCGCCTTGTCGCCACAGCTGGACAGGCCGTGCATTAATAGATTACATTCGGGATTTCAGATTGTTAACAGCCACGAGCGCTCCAGCTCGGTGTTCTGGGAAAGCACTGCTGCCGATCCGTTGGAGAGCTTTATTACTATTATCTTGCAGCGAAGGCCGCCTTCCAGGGAAAACAGCACACACGGTGGAGGACAAACCAGCCCCAAACCCTGTGTCGCAGGTGATCTTAAGTCAATAAATACCTCTTCTTCCCAGGTAAGCTTTCAGATTTGGTTCTATTCCGTTTTTTAAGCCACATCTGGGGCCCGAGGGAGGGCAGATGTGTTACGCCGCCGAGGTGGGCGGCGCGGGAAATGCTACTGAAGTGGGGTGTCAAAATGGAACCTCCATGTACAGAAGGGGTGTACCTTTTTGAATACCAAAATGCCAGTGGGGGAAGGGGGACAAACAAGAAGTGGATGTCACTTTTATCCTTTGCTTGTAACCTTCCAAAGGCACCGGTGGAAGCAGACGTCTGCCCTAAGAGAGGTTGTGATTCAGCCCACCCAGACAAATCTTGCAGCTGTATATGAGCGAGAGAGAGAGAGAGAGAGAGAGAGAGAGAGAGAGAGAGAGAGAGAGAGAGAGAGATGAATGTGTCTCGCGTAGTTGGTTAGCGCTGAAGCATATCTTTTCTGGAAAGGTGATTCGAGCTTGCTGTTTTTTAAAAAACTCTTCTGAGAGCGAGTGAATGTGGAAATCTGCTCTGTGAAGGGGTATTAAATTCACCAATGTAATAGATTGATATTTTTTTTTACTCATTTAAAAGGTATGTCGGGGTTTGAGGTTTTTCTTTTTTGGGGGGGAGGCATTGTTGGCCGTATGAGAGACACCCGGCTCCCACCTTCCTGCTTGAAGAAACATCATCTATCTATTCTAAATCTAATTGATAACGTTTATTAGACGCCTTTCTACCTTGCAGCACTCAAGAGAGAGAACAGTTTGGTGTAGTGGTTAGAAGTGTGGACTCTCATCTGGGATGACTGGGTTTGATTCCCCACACCTCCACATACAGCTGCTGGTGTGACCTTGGGTCAGTCACAAGTTCTCTCAGAGCTGTTCTCTCAGGAGCAGTCCTCAAAAGAGCTCTCTCAGCCCCAGCTACCTCCCAGGGTGTCTGTTTGTGGGGAGGAGAAGGGAAAGGAGACAGACAGTAAGCCACTCTGAGACTCCTTTGGGTAGGGAAGGGCAGTGTATAAATCCAGTCTCCTCCTCCTCCTCCTCCTTCTTCTTCGTGGAGTTGTGTGTTGGGAAATTTGCTCTAAATTCCAAATTGGCAGTGGCTGCTTGGGATGACTGCAAAGATAGAACCACGAGAACTGTACACGGTGCGCTCAATATTCCTTTAACGGAAACCGTAAAGTTGTAAATATGAAATGTACACAAGTAGTAGCAATACATTCAAATTGTAAGTTCAAATACAAAAAGATAGAAGATGACAATGACGGGACGGTGGTCTCCGGAATGCGATGCCGTTTCGACAGACGTCTTCTTCTAACCAAGAGTCTATAAGTTGATGATGTATGAAAAATTGCACTTCAGTGGGAAAAGCTGCCCAATTCACATGGAGTTCAATAGTTTCCCCTATTTCATTGCATAAGTAATGGAGAAGAACATCTCTCAAACAGAACAAAGCTTATGTGTTTATTCTGGACAGGCAGGATGACTGTCCAGCAAAGCAGGGCGCTCCCCCCCCCCCCCCCCGCACCCTGCCAGTGGTGGCGAACCTATGGCACGGGTGCCAGAGGTGGCACTCAGAGCCCTCTCTGTGGGCACGCATGCCATCGCCCCAGCCAGGCCCAGACCATCATTAAAGTGTCGAATTCTCTGCCAAATCATTTTAAGTAAATGAAAGCATTTGGGACTGCTTTCCTTACTTTGTTTGGATCACTTTAAGTCAATGTACGAGTCGTTTTTTCTAAAGTAAAACCTCAGTATTCAGGTTAAATTGCCGTGTTGGCACTTTGCGATCAATAAGTGGGTTTTGGGTCGCCGTTTGGGCACTCGGTCTCTAAAAGGTCCGCCATCACTGCTCTAAGCTGTGGAGTCCTGTGAGCAAAAATTCAACTTTGTGAGCGACTGGCATTAAAGTTGTGAGCGAGCGATTTGGCTCCTGCGGAAATTAGTTTGCTCTGGAGCCATCCTCCCTGAGTGGACAAAAACGTGTGAGCCAAAGGCTAAAAAACTGTGAGCTAGCTCACACTCACTCAGCTTAGAGGGAACCCTGCCTGTGGGTTCCCCTAGCTCAGTGGAAGAACTTTCAGAAGTTGCCAAGTTTGGTTCTTGGCACCTCCGGGTGAAAAAACGAACCAGTGGGACAGTAGGGCTGATAGACACCCCTGACAGTAAGGTTACCAGCTCTGGGTTGGGAAATACCTGGAAATTTGGGGGGGAGGGGGGAGCTTGGGAAAAGGCAGGTTTGGGGTGGCGGGAGACCTCAGCTGGGCCCAATGGCACACAGTCTACCCTCCAAAGTAGCCGTGTTCTCCAGGGGACCTGATCTCTGTATGAAGATCAGTTGTGATTCCGGGAGATCTCCAGGCCCCGCCTGGAGGTTGGCAGCTTTACTTGCCAGCGATCGTGGCGGGCTGGATGGACCAGCAGTCTGACTCTTTTATGTGGCAGCTTCAGGTTCTTTTTACAAAGGACGACGACCTTTGGAACATTCGGGGGAGATTGGCTTTTCCTCTGAAGTTTCTTTGGAGGGTTCTTCGGTTGGTGCATTGGTACCATCGGTCAGTCCAGGCCTGTGTTCCCTCTAAGCTGAGTTAGCGTGAGCCAGCTCACCGTTTTGTAGCCTCCGGCTCACACCTTTTAGTCGTAGCCCAGGAAGGAGGGCTCCAGAGCAAACTGATTGATGCAGCAGCCAAATCGCTGGCTCACCACTTTCATGCCAGGAGCTCACAAAGTAGAATTTTTGCTCACCAGACTCCACTGCTTAGAGGGAGCCTTCCTGGGCCTAGAATTTTGCCCCATAGTCCCAAAGGGAAGTCCACACAGCCCATTCCCAGAACAGTCTGCCTTGCTCAAGGTTTCCTTGGTGGACAAGCCAGTGTGGAAATGGTTCTTTGTGAGGTTGGGAAGGAAACTTTAAACCCACCGTCTGACATGAGTTCATTTGGGACCCGAAAGGCTGTTTGTTTCAGCCATCTTTTGACCCAGAGGGATGTCGGATGAGCTATACCAGCGATGGCGAACCTTTTAGAGACCGAGTGCCCAAACTGCGACCCAAAACCCACTTATTTATCGCAAAGTGCCAACACGGCAATTTAACCTGAATACTTAATTTAACCTAAACACTTTAGAAAAAACCAACTCATACATTAACTTAAGGTGATCCAAACAAAGTAAGGGAAGCAATCCCAAATGCTTTCATTTACTTAACATTATTTGGCAGAGAATTTGTCACTTTAATGATGGTCTGGGCCTGGCTGGGGCGATGGCACGCGTGCCCACAGAGAGGGCTCTGAATGCCACCCCTGGCACCCGTGCCATAGGTTCGCCACCACTGAGCTATACTCTACGCTGCACACGGCCATGCTTGAGGTCCCCGGTGCCCCGCGACACTTGCTGTCCAGGTTATTGTGGTGGAGATACCTCTAATCAGCACTGGAGCAAAGCCCTGTCCTTCCTTTGGGATTTCAAAAGTTCAAGGAAGATGTTGACCAATTGGACAGAAGGGTATCCAAGCGCTTCAAGTTTTTGGAAGGTGAAACAAGCCAAGAGAGGCTGAGAGAGGCCCAGGGTGTGTTTCAGTTAGAAAGGGGGTAGATGGGAGGAGAAGAAGAAGAGAAGAGATTGGATTTATACCCCGCCCTTCACTTGGAGTCTCAGAGCGGCTTACAAACACCTCTCCCTTCCCCTCCCCACAACAGAGGTGGGTGGGGCTGAGAGAGCTCTGACACAAACTGCTCTTTTTCGAGGACAGCTGTGCCAGAGCTTGTGACTGACCCAAGGTCACATCAGCAGGTGCAAGTGGAGGAGTGGGGAATCAAACCCGGTTCTCCCAGATTAGAGTCCGCGCACTTAACCACGACACCAAACTGGCTCTGGAAAGCAACCAAGATGATGAGAGGGTTGCAGCACCTTCCCTGTGAGGAAAAGCTGAGGAGTCTGGGACTGTTCAGTTTAGAAAAGAGACGACTGAGGGGGTAACACATGATAGAGGTTTATAAAATTAAGCATGGGGTGGAGAGAGTGGGGAAAGAGAACTTTCTCTCCCTCTCCCGAAAGACTAGAACTCGGGGGCATCCAATGAAGCTGATGGGCAGGAGGTTCAGGATGGACAAAAGGAAATACCTCTTTACACAGAGAGTGTTTATGATGTGGAATTCGCTGCCAGAGGATGTCGTGATGGCCATAGGAATAAACAGCTTGAAAAGGGGATTAGATAGATTCATGGAGGAGAGTTCTATCAATGGCTACTAGCCATGGGGACTGAGGGGAACCTCCACATTCAGAGGCAGTCACCCACTGAATCCCAGAGCCAGGAGGCAACATCAGGGGAAGGCCTCGGCCTCTCTGCCCTGTTGTTGGCCCTCCAAAGGAACTGGTTGACCACTGTGTGAGAAGAGGATGCTGGACGGACCCCTGGTCTGATCCAGCAGGGCTCCTCTTAGGTTCTTCTCAGGGGAAGGCCTCGGCCTCTCTGCCCTGTTGTTGGCCCTCCAAAGGAACTGGTTGACCACTGTGTGAGAAGAGGATGCTGAACTGGACGGACCCCTGGTCTGATCCAGCAGGGCACCTCTTAGGTTCTTCTCAGGGGAAGGCCTCGGCCTCTCTGCCCTGTTGTTGGCCCTCCAGAGGAACTGGCTGGCCACGGTGTGAGACAGAATGCTGGACTGGAGGGACTATTGGTCTGATCCAGCAGGACTCTTATGTTCTTAGGACAGAACAACTAGAGGAAACAAGTATGTCAGAAAAAAGAACGGGATTTTTGTCTGTCTCATTTTGTGGAGCTGGCTTCTAGGGCAACAAACAACTAAGATACAGCTATGAGTACAAAACAAACATCTACTGGAATCCATTGTCGTGGTGGTGGAAAATGTTGCCACGTCGTAGCTGACTTATGGTGACCCCGTAGGGTTTTCAAGGAAAGAGACGTTCAGCAGCAGTTGGCCATTGCCTGCCTCTGTAACACGACCCTGATATTCCCTGCTGGTCTCCCATCCAAGTTCTAACTGGGGCTGACTTTGTGTACCTTCCAAGATCTGATG